CTGAAAGCTGAATAAATAAGCTTTCCATTGATGTATGGTTTGTTAGGATAGAACAATATTTGGCCGAGATACAACTATTTGAAAATCTGGAATCTGAGGGTGCAAAAAAATTAAAAATACTGACAAAATCATCTTTAAAGTTGTCCAAATGAAGTTCTTAATGCATATTACTAGTCAAAAATTAAGTTTTGATATATTTACGTTAAGAAATGTACAAAATATCTTCATGGAACATGATCTTTACTTAATATCCTAATGATTTTTGGCATAAAAACAAAAATTCTAATTTTGACCCATACAATGTATTGTTGGCTATTGCTACAAATATACCCCAGCGACTTAAGACTGGTTTTGTGCTCCAGGGTCACAAATGTGTAATGAATGGCTGCTGTGTAACACACCTGTGTGATGGAGTAAGCCAGAGACAGGACCGCAGTGATGGCCAACACACGCTTGATGCTGGACTTGCTCTCCAGATGGCCTGAGCAAACACAATCAGCAAACACCACACTTTAACAGGAAGAGCTACACACTAAAAGACCCTTTGTTTTCATGGGCTCTCACTGCACAGCAAGTTACAATGCAACAGGTACCTTTAGAAAACATGGAAATCACTGTCACTAGTGTTGCTTTTGTTAACTAAAACTGCAAAATAATAATAATAATAATAATATTTTAGGGACCAATTATCACTATTCCTAAACAATAGCATTACTTAAAAAACATAAAAAACAATTTTCAATAATTGAAATACAGCTGGAATAAAATTAAAATATAAAATATTAGACCCAAAAAAACAACAACAACGTAAAAACCTAAAAATGATAATTAAAAATGTTGAATGCTGGCTTGGCAACTCACTCAAATTAATAAGTTTAAGTGCTAACATTACTAAAACTGAAATAAAGCTAAATAGAAAACTTATTTTACTTAATTTAATTAGTGAAACTTAAAATTAAAATGACAACAAAAATATAAAAATAAAAGCAAAAAAAAAAAAAGAGTTAATACTGTGATAGATTAATAATACAAACATTACATTTTCACCCATTTGAAAAATGTGATTTTTATAAGAAACGGAATCACATTTGAGATCCAAAACAAACACAATGCAGGAACGTACCAAAAGCCAGTCCCAGTATGATGACGCTGAGCTCAATAGCCAATAAAAAGAACCTCGTGATTTCCCAAAGCACCTGTAAACACACAGAAATCACTGATGAATTCACAACATAATCACAGCACTGCGTTCATCACAGCGTCAGCAAACCTAATACATCTGACGTCAGAACAGACTATGCTTGCTTTCTGAATTCATCTTCCTGCTCTGATTATGAATGATTCATCAGTCACGTTATTGTAATTAAATAAATGTTTGTTTTACAATCCATCAACATAATATAAGAAGTTGCTCCACCTCAACTTGTCACTGACTACCCTGTTTCAATAAAAAGACTACCGTTTAAAACTTTGACGTCGGTAAGATTTGTTAATGTTTTTGAAAGAAGTCTCTTCTGTTCACCAAAGCTGCCTTTATTTGATCAAAACAGTAAAACCAGTAAAATTATGAAATATTATTAGAATTTAAAATAGCTTAGTTTAGCTTAGTTTAATAGTTTTCTACTTGAATATAATGTAAATTATTATTTATTTCTGTGATTTTCAGCATCATTACTCCAGTCTTCAGTGTCACATGATCTCCAGAAATCATTCTAATATGCTGATTTGCTGCTCAAGAAACATTTCTGATTATCATCAATGTTGAAAACAGTTCACTGCTTCATATTTTTGTGGAAACCTTGACACATTTTATATTTCAGGATTATGTGATGAATAGAAAAATCAAAAGAACAGCATTTATTTGAAAGAGAAATCTTTTGTAACATTAGAAATGTCTTTACTTTTGATCAGTTTAATGCACAAAAGTTCTCACGGTATAAACATTTTCTGACTGGAAACTTTTGAACTGTAGTATGTCAAATACAATAAATAACTTGATACTAAGTCGAATGGAATATAATGAAAAATCACAATATCAAAACAGGAATAAGTCATGTTTTGCATGTTTTAAATGTTTTTAAACATTAATTTATTTTCAGAGCAAGAGAAAGCAAAATGTAGAACAATGACTACAGAAGCTTTTGGTGGTGTCATAAAACGTCTAAAACGCAAAAAGTTGTACTTTCAGATGCAGATTTGGTAGATATTACCATAATTAATTCAAGATTGACAGAAGTCAGCGTGAAGTCCTCATGTGTGTGTTTTCACCTTGTCTATGAGTGTGGCGGCGCTGGATGTGCTGACGGTCATGGAGACGATGGCACGTGTGATTCCTACAGCCGCCACCACGAACACCTGAGTGGCACGAGAGAAAGAGTCCGTCAGAGCAAACCTGAGCAGAAAACACAAACTCCACTGCATGCAAACCTTCAGCTCACACAGGACGCTCTGCTGCTTACCAGTATGTAAAACGCCACGAATATGGGGCTGGAGGTCAGACGGATCTTAGCGCGAGCAGAAGGAAGCTTCCACATCAGGAAGACCAGGAAAGCCACGTTTGGGACGAGCAGCATCACGTCCCAGTAACGAACCCTGACGGAGAAACAGAGATGGAGAGTTACGAATCAGACCAAAACAGAGGCTTTAGTGCTGTGACACGGTGCTCATTAAACATGTTTAGATTAAACAGCACAGAAACCAGCCGTTTATTACTACAATACTAGACCACACACACACACACAGACACAGACACACAGAGACACACACACACACACACAGACACAGACACAGACACAGACACA